CATATATATATGACAGAAACACAATATTAAGTGACAAAACAGAAAGTGGTTTTCTTTGCAATTTTCCATTTTCCTTTCTATATAGGGTGTCGGACATTTTTTTTTGCTTATTGATTAAATTTAATTATTTTAATTAAATAGTATAGTAAAAAAATCACATTCTTAGAAATTAGACCATCCCAGGTGGGATTTAAAAACACGACCTTCGGATTAGAAGCCCGACGCGCTATCATTGCGCTACAGAGATACAACGAACGATTTTCCTTTATATGTGCTGTTGGACTATAATTTTGTTTGTTACTGTCTATTCATTTTTGAAGTATAACTTCTTTGCGCTCGAGAGTGAATGAGAAATTTGCCCAATTTTGCGTTAGGGTGAAAAAGTAGTCTTCCCCCATCCCCCGAATCGTCGCCATGGTGATAGGATAGCGAGTGAGCGGGGACACCACGTAACATGTGTCATATCCATGAAAAAGTTGGATGATTGCCCACCTCTCCAATTCCTCAACTTGCCCACCTTCCGATTGGGGTCTTTTTCCCCCAGACTCGGGAACATCTATCAACGGTTGCATGAGTTGCAGTGTGTACAATACTGTTTAGACAAAATAGCTTACGCACCAAAAGCGTGCCTTTTTTGAAATATTTCCTTAGATTGTTGGTGATATGGCAATGTGTTCGGCGGCTAATCTGTTTATTTAATTTTCATTTGAGTTGAATTATTATTAATTCTAGTCAGAATGCCTAAATCAAATGCACAAAGAGGAAAAGAGTTTCGTGAAAGAAAAAAAAAAGAAAAACTAGCAGCAAGTCCAGTCGAAAAAGTGACAAAAAAAGCAGAAAAATAGTGCAAATTCCTCAAGTGCTACTGCTAAATCTCCTTCAGAGTACATGAGAGAATATCGAGTATGGAAAAAAAACCAACTGCAAAATGCTCTCTTGATGCCCAGTTTATGGGATGGGAAACAAGAAAAAGATATCATGGTAAACGATCTCTTATCAGTAAAATCAGGGATTTTTTTTATAGTTCAGCGATTTCAACAATTACAATTAATTTTATTACCATATCAAAGTACAAGGTATAAAAGAAGATATTTATTTTCTAAATGCATTTGTTACATTAAAAAGTTTAGAAGATAGATAATATAGCTTATAGCTCCCAATGCTTAATATCTAAGCTTTTTAAAAACAACAGTCTGTCAAGTCTACAGGGATCCAAGCGGTTCTGCTCATGACTTGCGATGTTGCCGGCAATCGAAAAAAGGCGCTCACAAGGAACAGATGATCCCACGATATTCATATAGATAATGGCTATTGAGTGAACGTGATGATAGAGTTTTCTCTGTCCTTACGGTAAAGTATAGGATCATACTTTAGGTGCACAACTGCCTGCGATAAATAGTGTTTAAATTCTTCGTTTTAGCCCTGACTTTTCGATGCATTCAACTAATTGTAAATAATATGGTTTTTACCAAAACAGAAAAAATCGAATGTCGATTTTCTAGGATGAAATATCGATTCACTGAATCGATTTAGAGCTACATATTGATTTAAAAATCGATTTTTTGGCCCGAGAAATCGATCTTTCGATTAATCGATCTCAGATCGCCAGCCCTAGTTTATACCTAGAAATTCCAGCACATCTTTCTACTTTCGATTTGGTATCAAAAAGATTCATTTCGCCACGAATACCTTTCACGCAAATTAGATGATCGAGACATGTACACGGTCGGTTTGGAATATTAGGGCAAATAATCAATGTTTCAACGTCGCCAAAGAAGTTTCACTTCTATCACGTGGCGTTCCACGCACCATTTTTTAATTTAATTCGTGAATTAATATTTGAAAAAATGTATTAATATCAGGTGTCAACAAGTTTAAGAAAATGTATTTGAACTTGAATGGATGAATAAAAAGTACTTTTTAACAAATGAAAATTTTAACAATATATGCATATATATGGGGAAGAGAGTGAACTAATAGTAGGAATTGAAAAAGAAACTGTGCATTTCATTTAAAATTGCTCTTTGACTGTTACCTACGTGGATGCATCTGCATTTTCAACGATGAATATTAATAAGAATCTAGTGCAAGATTATCAGTTAGTAAATTTGTACGTGGAAGCGCGCGATATGAAAACTGTATGCAGAACGAGATAAAAAGTTTGACAGCCAGACGTTTTATTGCGTATCGTATGTTTATTGCACTTCCAAACTGCCTTACCTGAATACACTCGGCTAGGAAGATTTAAAGAGCATATCACGTGGTATGTCTAGGAAATTTGTTTTTCACTAAAAAAGGATCCTTTCCTCAAATTCATTGGAAATAATATGTTCGATTGATGGGGATGATTGGTATGTTTTTAGGGATAGTGAGTCCTGGAATCGAATTTATAATGTTTTTTAACATTTCACAATCAATCGTTATTTTTTAAATGACAGTAATTATTTTTTCCAGATAGAAATTTTAATTTTTTTTTTAAATTTCATCTTTTTAAGCAATAAAATTTTCCACATTCCTTAATTTATCTATCCATCTATTTATTTATTTATTTTGTTTCTTTCCTACTCCAGAATTTCTAAATTCTTCATATTCTAATCTTTTTAAACCCTAGTATTCATATTTTTCCATGGTGTTCTTTACAAAAAAGTAAGTAAATTTTTGATTATTTCATGTATTTCGTTCTTTTAAAGCTTATGTGTAATTTCTCCTCGTTAAAACTTTCATCATGAATAAGCCATTCTTTAAAATTAATTACGTGCCGATTTCTTACAGCTAGGCCGCCATTTTGGATTCAAAATCACTCGGCAACTAATTCTTATTTGGCGCTATTTCGAAATCGTTTCAGAAGACGTTTGGTACGAAGCGTACTGATAACAAATTAGTTCATCTTCAAAGTGGAAATCCCCAGTTTTAAACCTAAATAAAACATCTTCCGCACTATTCTTTCAGCCGCAGTACTTTCGGTATCAACAGGGTTCATTTTGTTTGCGACCTGTGTGGCATTTTTGTCTTTTCGGTAAAATAAAAGCATCCAGTGCCTAAAATGTGCTTTATTTGCTTCCTTATTCAAGGCGCATAAAAGTGACAACTATTAATTTTTCATATATAGCAAAACTTTTTTTTTATTATGCTTGAAGTATTGTCTTTTAGGATGCATATGCGCATGTCATTTATTTTTTCAATCATTCTGATACATTTATATATATACCTAACCTAATATTACCAAACAAAAATAAACACAAAACTTTTTGGATGTCCCTGTATATACATTTTCATCGATCTCAATTTTATATGATTTTAGATTAAAAGTGAACTCTAAAGCATTACGAAGCCTACTGGCTACGGACCTCACTAGTTTGAATCGCTGTCAAAGGAATAGGGCGATGTGACTAAACTACCTTCCACAATTTTCCAAATTTTCATACCACCTCAACGTGAAGACGACTACCGCGCTTCTGAAATCCTTGAAAGAAAAAACATACCAATCGTATAAAAATAGATGCTTTTCAATTTTGAGATACAGTATACTTTTAAGTATTTATTTTACTCGTGTTTGGAGTGTCGCGGGTTCAAGTCCTAATGCCTTTAAGGTATCCGACTACCCTAAAATTGTAAATTTTGCCAAATTTTTTTGTGATTTTGTTTTATAGACAATTTTATCAGCTTTATAAAAGCAACAAGTTTATTATTTTTCATTTTGTAGAACAAACACTGCAAGTGTTTTAGTTAAGGCACGTGCCACTACTTTAAGCAAAATGTCATAATTAAAATGAGTTTTACTCGAGATGTGTGTTTTGAAAATGCTCAAACGGGGACAATGATTGCTCAAAAAGTTTTGAAAATAATTAACTGAAATTTTTGTGTATATGTTCTGTATAATAGAAGTATATTTTAACCCTCAGATCTATCAATCACTGTTCTATTACAGAATTTACTGTCCCTTATGTGAATATAATCACTGTTTTTTTTTAAGCAATTTTTCATATAATAACCAAGAAATATAGAGTGCTCTAGTTTTTATAACAATTAAAACATCTCTTATCCAGAAGGTCATTTAAAAAATGAATAGCAAAGTAACACATCAAAATTGAAAATTTGTTCTTAAACTTTTTATACAGAATGGGCCCCGTTTATATAATTTTTTGTGTACATTTTTACCAGTTTTTTTCCCATTTTAGTAATAATAATTTCTTTTTCTCTTCTTATTTTTAGCATATTTTTCTTAAATGTGAAAACCACAATAAATGCAAACCACCTATAAATGTAAAAACCGCACACAAATTTCCATATCTCCATTTTTTTAAAAAATAAAAAAAGTTGTTGCAAGTAATAGGCTAACTTAAGGACTCGCCATGTAGAGGGGGCCGATGCACGTAAAATCTGTTGAGGCTTAATGTCCTCCCGTTGGTATTTTGTGGTAGTTAAGAGAGGAGGGGTTCAGAGAGCTCAGGTGTCCTCCTCATCACTTGACCGAGGTTCAAAATAAAAGATCCGTCGCCAATATTCCTCTTGCTGCTTTATAGTGTGACGTGTTACTCTCACTGGAGTTTATTTTATGTATAAACAGTATGCATTTCGTAAGCAATAAAAAACAAAACAAAAGGATTTCTCAAACTGTGGGGCGCGCCTCCCGAGCATATCGAAAAGTCGAAAATAAAAGATTTAAAAAAGTTATTAATGTACTGAAAGAAATCAAAACTAAATACATATTCTGAGATAATAAATAAATACACATTTACTAGAGGATATTATATCTTTATAAACGTATTTGTAATACACGATGTATTTGATCTTTAATTCATCAATACTAAGAACAAGTTTAATAGATACTAGTGTCCCCATGGGCTTGCCATGTACACAATTATATGCAAAATTTAATACTTATCTTAATAATTTGTGCTGTTTATAATTAAAGTATTGCAGTTTTAGCGTCAAAGTACGTTATTATTGAATTAAATACATTGTCATTGAATGGAGGGGGGCACCATGAAAGTTATTACTGAAAAATGGATCTCAAACATTCAAAGTTTGAGTAGCATTGGTGTAAGCAGACAAAAATTCCAGTAGTTTTGGCTTAATATCCTGAAGCACTGTTAAGTTACCAAAGCTTTTGAAGCGGATACATTAAATAAAACTTTTATTTACAAAAGCATTTACACTAATGCCTAATAATCACGTTTATTTTAAGACTTCTTCGGAAGAAATGCATTTAAAGTCCTTGGGCAACGTCACGCTCGAATTGCTCCT